AGATAGAAAGCCCATTGGGTTTTATTCGCAACTGTTGTCCCCCACCCCAGAGTTTCCATAAGAGAGACTCATGGACTTGGAAAGTTCTCTCTGACGCTGCTGTGAGAACAAACATCAAAAGCATGTGTGCCATTTCAGATGCTGTGCTTCAAGCTTCAGTTTTGTTGTTGTTCTTCGCTGAACTTTTCTAAGCCCCTGGGCTCCTTGAATCTCCTCTGCCTTGGAGCTCTGTGCATCATTTGCTTCGACACTTGATTCTCTGTGTCTCTGTGGTATGCCCCCGTGGTCGTGGATGCTTCCTGACTCATGTGTACAACTCATTACTGCCGAGTCGTTGACTGATGCATGGCAACCCTGTGTGTGTCGGAGAACTGTTCTGTGCAGGGTTTTCCATGGCTGACCTTTCTGGGGTGGATTTCCAGACCTGACCTCTGAGATATTGCTGGATACACTTGCACTTCAAGTTGTTCAGTTAACAGTGAAACATGCTAACCGTTCACAGCATCCCAGGTCTGAGCTCCAGGAGGAGCTCTTTTGAGGTGGTCTCTCTTTCTTGGTATCTCTCTTGGCTCCCCTTAGACCAGTGGTTCTCAACCTTCCTAGTGCCACGATCCTTTAATACAGTTCCTCAGGTTGTGGTGACCCCCAACCATAAAATTATTTTCGTTGCTACTTCATAACTCTAATTTTACTACTGTTATGAATCAGGCAACCCCCGTGAAAGAGTTGTTCAACCCCCAAAGGGGTCATGACCCACAGGTTGAGAACGGCTGCCTTAGACCCTAACATGGCAAGCCCCAAACAGGTGATTAATGCAAAACAGATCTTGACCATCTTAGGAAGCAGAAGCCAACTCTGACACAGCTGGATCCCATGAGTCAGAATTGACTTCCTAGCACCTGGTTAGTTTGTTACCTTCTCTTTTGCCCCAAATAGTCTAAAACCCTCCATAGATCTACACCTGTGGTTCTCAAGGTGTGGTCCCAATTGAGAACATGAGCATCACCTGGAAAGGTGTTTAAAAATGCAAGTTATCAGGCCCACTCCTGATGGACTCAATCGGAAACTCTATCCCTTGACAAGCCCCGCGAGCTGATTCAGATGCCATCTGAAGTTTGAGAAGTTCACCTCAGGGAGTGGTGGGGGAGGAGCTCCACCGGACGGTTGAGCAGGCATCAAAGGCTGGGCAGCACTTCATGGCAGGCATTTGCATGGGTTATCCGGCATCTCATGGTTTAGACTCTGCAGACAGGCGCCCCAATGCCTTATACCCAGAGTTGCAAGGTGCTGCCTGTAGAATTGGTGTCCCCAAACCCCTGCTAATGTGCGGGCAAATGAGGAGTGACAAATCGCTCTCAGAGTGAACAAAGACTACGTAATGGACAAGGGATTCATTTCCAGCGGCAGCCTCCTAATTTTGTATTCATAACTTTGCATGCATCCCGGGCTCCACATGCAATGTCTGTCGATCGACATTAGGTAATTGGGCATCCAGCAGCCCCATTTGCATGCAAAGGTGGCCGCACACCTCCCATTTAGGAGTCTAAAATGAAAGCCCAGTTTGAAGTTGGCTGAAGAGGCACTGCTAGGAAAATCATGACATAAGGAAGAAATGGTTTCTGTTCATCAGCACTTTTGCTCTCCACTACTCAATCTTTGCTAATTTGGCCTTTGGAATTGTGCATTCCCAGGTAAAGAGAGACTTCCAAGAGCATGTTTTTTGGTTTTTGTTTTTTAAAGCTTCTGCGATAAGACTGATTGTGTTTATCCACAGTGTTTCCCTAACACAGCTCCCACACGTATGCTGCCTTCCGTGGCTGTTTTTGCTCTAATTGTTCACGCTCTTGTGGAGCCACGTGGATCATCTCAGAGAAGATTCACTCCCCCGCTACCCTCCACCCCTGCCCAGTAGACTGACTGCCTCATCTCATTTCAGTTCTGCCCACATTTATCAAGCAGCTACTCTGTGCCAGTGCCACTGGCCATGTTCGGGGCATGCACAGATCAGCCAAGTACAGTTCCTGCCCTCACACGCTCACAATATTTTAACCGCTTCCCAGTGCCTCCGTGTCGCGTGGTTTTGCAATGACGCTTTCTTAATATAGCATTCCTTGATCTCCCAGGTTGTGCTCCTGTGGATGAGGGGCTCAGGGGTCACAAGTCTGTCAGTGTGCCACACTGTGGCGGTGTGATTGTGATTGTGGAGCTAGAAGCTGTGCCACTGTTATTTCAAATACCAACAGGGGCACCCACCCCGGGTGGACAGGTTTCCGTGGGGCTTCCAGACCAGCATGGATTAGGAAGAAAGGCCTGGTGATCGACTTCTAAAAATTAGCCAATGAAAATCTTATGGATCGCAACAGATTGTTGTGCTTGTTTGTCTTGAATGCAAGACTAGGAATCAATCGCTGGGGGAAGACAACCTCTTTGGTGAAGCTAAGGGCCAATGAGGGTAAGGGAGCACACCACCCAGTAACTTCCTCGACTAATTCATACAACCAGGTGTTCTTCATTCTAATGAGTTCAAACCAAACTCGCTGCCACGGAGTCCATTCGGACACCTAGCGACCCTGTGTGACATGGTAGAACTGCTTCTGAGACATTACCTCTTCACGGGAGTAGAAAGCTTTGTCTTTCTCCTGAGGAGCGGATGGAGGTTTGGAACTGCTGACCTTGTGATTAGCAGCCCCAACATGTAACCACTATGCCACCAGAGCTCACTTTCCGTCTTAGACACCTTCCTTATTACCAATCCAAAATTCACTGCCACTGAGTTGATCATGACTCGTTACGACCCTGCGGGCATAAGTAGAACTGCTCCTTTGGATTTCTAAGCCATCTTTTCCCCATGGAGCGACTGGTAGGTTTGAAGCGTTGACTTTGTGGTTTGCAGCTCAGTGTGTAGCCCCAGTGGTCTCCTCAGCCATACCAGTGACCATAGGGTGATGGAGGACTGGGCAAGGTTTCATTCTGTTGTGGATGGTGTAGCCATCTGTCAGACCAGCCAGCCTCTGACAAGCGTGTGGGTCTGTAGGTGCAATTGTACGGCGATAATATATAAAAATCATAGTAAAGTAATAGAAGATAGGAGAGATAGAAGAGAAGGTAAAATAAAGGAGTCAGACACATTTCATAGCATGCTCACCTCTGGAACGGTCATGATCTCAGCAGCCAGGTCCGTACAGAGAGAGGGAGGAGGAGAGAGGACTGTGAGCCTCTTTATTTCTGACCAAGGCCTATATATACTTAGGGACATGCAAGCCCCCCTGATTACGTACCTAACTACATACGTCACAAGGAGTGGCTGTCCAGTAGACATACACTTCACAAGAAGGGGATGCGCTAGGGCTGTACACGCAATAGGAAGGGGAGGGACTAGGGGTACACATGTGACAAGATGGCAGCCTGACCTTGGTCACTCTTGAATGGGCTTGACCTTGTCTCTGGACTCTCCTTCAAGGAAGCAATCCACTACCCTTATCAGGAGGGAGTGGACCCACCTTAGGGTGGGACAGACTATACAGTCTGATTGCTCTAGATGGCTGATAACCCTCAGGGAGAATAACCTCTAAGCAGCTTGCATTGACCTCCAAGTGTACAGTCATTTACCATGTGACACAAGCAGTATCCTAGATTTGGTATATATGTCAGGGAGACAACCAGGGAGAAAACCCTTTTGCACCCCACAGCCATCTATCTAGACAGGGGTTGGGCATGTCCATCCCTCAGGCTCCATAAGGCTGCAAAAATTATCAGTACCGTCTAACATCACACACCTGCCCAAAGTGAAGCAATTCCATCCATCACTCTAGGGTAAGTTAATTAAATGTTTAACCAACTATAATCAGCTAATTTTTATATTGATAATTTTGTATGGGTCACTAATAATGTTATAAGTATCCAAGTGGCCTTTGTTTGAAAAAATATTTCATACCCCTGATTTGAGGGCACCAGACTGGCCAGTTGGCTACTCAAGTAGATAATAAAGAGTGAAGATGGTCTGCAGTCCCAGGGAATAAAAGATCCATAGGTGCTTCCTCTGCTTTGGATGTGATGTGGGACTCATGCATGAGAATGGCGGTTTACATTCATCTTAAAGGGACTTGTGTATCAGGACCACCAGCAGTCTCCTGGTGGAGTCCTACAAAGATGGTCTTCCAGGAGCCAACCCTCTTCAATGGCTTTGCATCTCTATGTTGGACAGTATGCGTTTGTCTTACATTGACATGATAAGCTTGGGGAGGACAGACGTATGTTTGGGTCTTCATCTTCTTATCGCCTATAGTTCCTATTTGGTGGTGATGGTGATGAGGAAAGGAACCCTGAGGGAGGGTGGTGCACCGAGTTGCTCTCCACAAGGTCAGTGGTTTGAACTGAACCTGCTGCTCTGTGGGGAAAAGTAATGAGGCTGCCTCCTCTCATAGACATTTAAAGTCTTAGAACCCCACAGGAGCAGTTCTTCCTTGTCCTGTAGGGTCACTATGAGTTGGAACCAACTCTGGCAGTGGGGTTTGGTTTTGGTGATAAGGAGAACGTATTAGAAGGGGAATAAAGGTAGCTTATATGAATCAGTCACTCTGTGAGGGAAAGGGCTTTCTACTCCCGTTAAAAACAGTGACGGCTCAGAAACCCACAGGGGAAGTCCCACCCTTCCGTATAGGGTGACTCGATGGCACCGAGTGTGGTTTTGTATGGATTAGTAGCATAGTGGGTAGTGCAAACAATTAACACACTTGGTCGCTGACTGAAAGGTTTGAGTTTCAGGTCCACCCAGAGACATCTTAGAAGAAACACCTGATAATCCACTGCTAACAAACCAGCCACTGAAAGCTCTGTGGAACACAGTGCTTATCTGACACGCATGGGGGTTGCCAGGGGTCAGAATGGAAACCAGACAAACTGGCGTTGGGGGTGGGAACTGTATGAATTAGTAGTTCCTCACTATGATAAGCTCGATTTCATTTTTCCTTTTTTTCCCTTTCTCTCTCTCTTCATCTTAGCACTGGAGCATATACCTTGATAACACCAAATGAAACCCGGAGACGCAAGCTACAAAGGAGTATGTAGATATATGTATATATTCATTTAGCATTCAGATGGTCTCACTTTCTTAAGGACTATAATGTGCTTTGATCTGAATGATTTTTAATTCCTCATTTATATAGACTTGCCAGATCTTACCAAGGTTTTTCTTTTTCATTTCAACTTTAGTAGTTTCCTTCACTGCTATCAAATCCATGCCAACTCAGAGCGCCCTCTAGGACAGTGTCGAACTGCCCTGTGGGTTCCCGAGACTCTAACTGTTAACTGGAAGAGAAAGCCCTGTCTTCGCCCTTCAGAGTGGCTGGTGGTTTCAAAGTGCTGACCTTAAGGATCACAGTCCAACTCGTAACCACTACGCCACCAGGGCTCCTTCTAGTTATCTCTTTCTTAATGATTCTAGTCAATACTTTTACATTTGTTCACTAGATTGCTGCCTGGAGCTTTGGTAGTACCGTGGGCTAAGCTCTCTTCTGCCAATCGAAAGGGCAGCTGTTTGAATCCACCAGCCTCTCTGTGGGAAAAAAAATGTGGCAATTTTCTTCCCTAAAGATTTCTAACCTCGGAAACCCTATGGAACAGTTTTCTTCTTTCCTTACTGAGGTGTTAGGAGCTGGAACAAACAATGGCTTTGAGTTTAGGTTTGGGTTGGTTAACAACAGCACTGCCATGTTACTAACAGAACTCAGCACATGATTAGAAGTCTCGCATTTCTGGAAGGTTTGTTCTCACGCCTTTTGCCAAAAGGCCTATCTTGCCCTTGTCAGGTTGGGCTGACTGCTGATATTTTTCATGGGACTGTGAATATTTTGGAAGAAGACTGGTTCTATTCTCATACTCATAGCGACTCTATAGGACAGAGGAGAACTGCCCCCTTAGTTTCTGAGATTGTAACTCTTTATGGGAGTAGAAAGCCTCGATTCTACATAAATCATGAAATAATACGATGCCCCTTCCTTGATCCGCCTTATCGCTCTTTAGTGGAATTACTGTGTCCTCTTGTGTTCCCATAATTTTCAACAGGTAAGAGTCTACCCGCATGTGCTTGGTATGTGTCCGCTTCCTTCCCTGGGCGACGAGCCCTGGGGGCAGAGTGATGACACGTTGGGCTGTGATCTGCAAGGTTTGCCCTTCAAAGCCACCAGCGGCTCCCTGGGAGGAAGACAGGGCTTTCTACTCCCGTAAAGCGTCACAATCTTGGGAATCCACGGGGAAAGTTCTACTCTGCGCTATCGGGTGACTGTGAGTCAGCCTCCAGGGCCACTGGGCCACATTTTCCTTTTCCTGCTTGAACTTAGTGAGTGCTTAACAGAGCTGAGGGCTTGGTCCAGCCCACTGCAATAAAGGGAGTGAGGCGATCAAGGATGCTGTGGCTCCCCAGAGCACGTAAAAGCTATGCTTGTCGTCTAGTAAGTGTGCGATGGTAGAGTTATGAAAATGTTTGAACTAGCATGAAATTACTCAAGTGTGACAAGAGACACACAGTGAGCCCATGCCGTTAGGAAAACAGCGCGGATAGTCTTGCTCTGTGTAGGGCTGACACAGACCTTGTTTTGTTTTTTTTTAAGCCAATCTGTAAAGCAATGTAGAGAAGAGCCATCAAGAGAGCCTACAGATAGAAGCGGTGCCATGTAAAGGCATAGCATGGTAGCGTAGAGGTGGAAGGAAAAGTGAAACTTTTTAATTCACGACAAGCTGGCCGCGAGGCTGGTTTAAGCTGTACAGGCAGCGGCGAGGCCAGTCCGAAGCTTCTGTGCTCGGCTCTGTATGAGGTCGCTGTAGGAAATTTCTCCCTGTGACTCACGATGGACCCTGGGGCACAGCAGGAAAGAGGTGCGGGCCTTAAAGGTCTGTCACCTTGGAAGCTTTCACAGGAAATACTTTGCGGGAACCCGGGGCTCAGTGTGATCGAGTTGGACTTGGAGATGCCTCACAATTACAAATAATACTTTCACGATCTTACACGTGAACATTTTGAGCAAGCAGTCAGGTCTAACGTGAAGAGGGGCGTGGAGGAGGGGAGTAAAGACCTGCATCTTTGTCTCCCCTGCTGTCCCGTGGGGACTATTTGGGGAATGTAGGAGGACTTCGGCATCAGCAAAAACAGGAAGATGGATTGACACAGTGGCTACGAGGAGCTAGAGCATGGGCACACTGTGAGGACGGCACGGGACCCGGCACTCTTTCCTCTTGTTGTGCACAGTCGCTATGGGTGAGGATAGACTCAGTGGCACCGAACAATGTTGTGCAGATTTTGTGGCATAGCACATACGCACTGGGCAGCTAACCCTTAAGGTACGCGGTTTGAAACCATCAGATGGACCCTGCGAGAACGCTGTGGCATTCTCCTCTCCAAAACAGTTCCTGTCTCGGATACCCACAATGGCAGTTCTACTACCCTGACCTATAGGGTCACTATGAATTGGAATAAATCCCACGGCAGTGAGGGTTTTTGTTTGCTTGTTTGTATTTTTGTTTTTTGACAGTGCCACAGATAGAAACTGGCTCTGCCCTGGCGTTGGGCTCACAAGTAGTTAGAGGCCCTTGAATGGTTGTTTTGTCTTATACTACGCAATGGCTGGATTAATTTCCTTTGCAACTTTTAACAATGGATGCTTTGATATTTCTCATCTTCCCTAGTTGCTGAGAAGGAGCTGAAAGACCTGGAGGAATGGAAGGAACAAAACAGAGCTAAGCCACTTAACCTGGTGCCAAGACGGCTAGGTAAGCAGGCCCACCAGTCCCCCGAGTGGGCGGCCGGGGACCAGCCCTGGGTCCCGTTGGCACCTTGCATACGTCTGCCACCGAATGCACATATGCCGTGGTTTGATGGCTGTGTTGCTTGGGATGGAATGTATTTAAAGTTGAAGTGTGCAGGTACATGGTTGCTTTTGTTTTTCCTCAAGTAGCGAGCATACTATGCCAGTTATCACGAGTAACATGACGGCTTAATTGCCAAATAATTTAGAGCCCCTGAGATATGCTGAGCTCTGAGAAAATCTTACATGTCCTGTCACTTCGCTTGTCAGGATAGGAGTAAAAACAGTCACATGCATATTAATCACGGCAATAAAATGCTAATGCACAGGAGAAAAGGAACTGAGAGGTATTCCCACATGGACACAAGGGGCGTGGGGGACCCAGTGGCAGGTGGAAAGGAGGCCGTCACCACCTGTGCTTTCCCTTCTAACGACACAGACCTTTGAACCTCTGAGTGTGCGTCCGGGGCGGTGAACGGTCCGGGCTGCCCCTGCTGGGTGTTTGAATCATTCTGAGCTGCTGCCGCCGAATGGGGATCATTCACGTAATTTCTTCCTGGTCTGTCCTGGCAGCAGTTGAAAGATTCCAGAGCTGAACATCTAACTTCCACAGATTTAGTCTAACTCAAACAGGGTGGTCCTGGAAGTTTCAGAGGAGCAGTTCATTGCCCGCCACTCCTCACCCCACCAGATTACAATTTTAAAATAAGCTAATTTGAAAATCATTTAACAAGTGAAAGTAATCGTTTTATGTTTTAATTATTTTGTTATGTGAAAGGAATTAAATTTTATTTTTCTTTTTAAGTCATTTTATTGGGGGCTCATACA